TATCTTATTATTTATTTTGTAGTAAATGTTTTACTTACATATACAAAATCAAAGATGATAAGCGTCATAGCTAAAGATACTGTGAATAAGTAAGACATCTTCGAAAAGTTATTTATTAAATCCACATATCTGATAAAAAATGAAGATAATCAAAATAGTAATAATAATCATTTATTTTATTAGATTCAAACCATTGAAACATTTACCAAAAGAAAAAAAAATTATTTAATATAAAGATGTTTCCATAATATCAAAAAATAAAATAATGTTTATTTTAATAATTTTACTTTTAATCTCTCGAAAGATAAAACAAATGTTGTATAATATAATATTTTTACCATCATATAAAAATACTTACTCTGTAACTTTTTTATATCTATTTATAACGTCAACTATCCAATCCCATTCTTCTTCAGGTTTTCTAAAAAAACAATCCTTTCCGATATATTTCGAACTTATTTCAAAAGGACGTCGTATTTTAAGTCTTGAAAAAAGAAATACAATGAATACAATTAACATTTTAAAGAAAAACTACAACAAATACTATAATAGATTTGRTCACTGAACACGCACATTAAAACGCGAAATTGATAACAAGCAAATAGAACAGCAATCAAATATCCAGAAAAACTAATAGCACCTACTGTTACCACTACAATAACTTCAATTATTTGATAAATAAGCAAACAAAAATATTTCACTCCTGCCTTGTTGATATTATTAACTGGTACAATTAGTGGTAATTGTTTTCCGTCCCATATTCCCAAAAAATAAAGACATACTTTTATAATGCACGGAGCTATTATTGAAATACCATATCCATTGAAAAGACCTAAAAGAACATAAGTTCGTATAAAACTATAATAATATTTATGTCAGTATGGTTTTGTGTCTAAAGACTTTACTTAGCAGACTGTCACTTTCGCAAACTCGACGAATATTTAAACCCAGAATTATAATAAATACAAATTTTTATTTAACAATAGCAATTTATTTCCGTGAATTTTAGGATCACGATTAACAATAATGATAAGATAAAAGTAAATTGCCGAAATTGCTTGGTTCTTACTGCACGACAAAGAGTCAACACTTTCTTCAATTATTAAGGAATAATAAGACAATGTAATGCACCATATCATGATATTAACAATTATTATTATTATATTTTAGCTTACCAAAAACTATGTACGCATATAATTTACTTTGTTTTACATTATTTTCTAATAAAGTTAATTCCTCTTTATTCGAAACCTGTTCAGAAAAAGCTTTACAATTGGATAATATTTGCTTCATCTAAAAATAATAGAAATTTGTTTAAAAGTAACTAAATTATTTATTGTAATGTTGATTTAAAATGAATACACTAACTGTTACAAAATTTAAGTAGCTATTGCAGTAGGCTGAGAGGAGAACAATAACTGCAACCGTTTTCTGAAGCACTTTCACTGCTATTTTCATTATTATTTCTGATGTAAAAAGTTGATAAAACTAATAATTTAAAAATAAGGCTCTTTAAAAATATTATTTATTAGAATATTATTAATATTATTAATAATTATATGTATATATATAACATATTTATTTATTGTATATTTTCAACACAATTTGTCTTTACAGAAAAAATTTCAATTAATTCGAAGCAACGAATATAAAAACATTCCTAATAAATAAATTATAATGCATTTTACGTTTAGGAAATAACACATACTTGATGTACCACTCCAGGAAATACGTACAATGATATTCCACAAACTAAAAACAATTGATCATTCCGTGACGACTCGGGACGAAGACCCAATATTAATTGAACGAACTTATTCGAAAAAAAAAAATATCTACCAACATTCGATTACCAGAAGCCATTGTGAACTAACTCAGAACTTTCAAAGCGAAATAATAAATATTCCTTTTCATTTCCCCCACTAACTCAACGGAAATTAAAATTCCTACCTATTAAAAATATAAAAACTCAATGGAAACAAAATTGCGTAAAAATAAGAAAATAACCATTTAATCCATAAAAATCCGTAAGGGGAAAATTAGACTCGTTTATAGTTTTATAATGTTCCATATTATCGAATAGGATAATAAATACTTCGTGTATGTTGACACGTGCTTTTTCTTAACAATTATGGGAGGGTAGATATTCCTTCTACATTTGATGTTTAGAGACATGCGCAGAAGATTCTACTGATTTCAACTTAGGTCAGTTGGTCTCCGACAACGATGCAAAACACTTGTTCATTTAGAAGAAAAATAATTGTTATAGTGATTAGAAGAAAGTTCTTATCTTTTTTGACGATACACTCTGCCAAATATCTTATTGTAATTTTCGCAATTAACTGAGAACCTTCAGGTATTTATTTGAATATAAACAATGTAGATTAAGGTATAATTTGAAAATTAAAACAAACTTGTATGTTACAATTCAATAACGACTAAAAATATATATTCTAATATTACTGTATACATTTATTAATCATTTAAACGTGACTACAATCGTACTTTCTTTAAACAAAGAGTACGATTCAATTTATGCAGAGTAATTTCATTCTTCAGTTAAACAGCATTCGAAATAATTTATTAATGGTTTAAATAAAGATATAAATTATACATAATTATAGTAAACCATTGCAAAAGAGAAAGCTTTTCGCATTAACTAAAACGATATCTTTCTTGTTTAAACAGATATATTAATGAACATTCGCTTATTGTTACTTACGGATGCAAACGATTCATGCGAAGATACAAACATGCCACCAATCGAAAGCATGCATGGCTTACAGCATCTGGTAATCATAAATAATAGAGATTTTTGTGATTTCTTAGAAAGAATGTAAAATGGAACTTGACACCTACAAAACAGATAAGATTACGTCCTAGATTAAGTAATTTTTAACATGATAGTTTAATTACAAAATAATTAATTTCAGTATATGATTCTGTCATAAAAATTATTTGTTTGATTTTTATAAAAATTAAAGGTTAAAAAATTTCAAATTATCCTACAATTCCTTAAAAAATACATCGCTATAATTCATCAGTTCTTGGCCAAGATAAAAATTTAGATATATTGCCAGAATTGTGGTTGCAATGTAGAAACTGCATTCAACTATTTCAAGTGCATTTTTCAAGCATATGGATAACTGAAATATCTAAACATGTAAATTATGTATTATATTAAACTTTTAAGTAAAAAGTATGCACTATATAATAATTTTTTTGTAACATATAATACGAAGAGAGATAATACTTTAATATTTATCATATTTTACATTTTTCGGTAAATGTTTTACTTACATATAGAAAATCAAAAATAATAAGCATCATTGCAAAAAGTACTGTGAATACGTAAATCGTCTTCGAAAATTTATTTAATAAATTGACGTATCTGAAAAAAAATTAGGATCTACAAAATTTTGGCATTTAACATTTTTTTATTTGATTGAAAGCTTTGAAACGTCTTCCAGGATAAATAGAAAATAATATAGAGATTATTTCTTATTATAAGAAAAAATAATGAATCTTCATACTTGCATGATTTATTTTAATCATTATAAAGCTGAAACAAATGTTGCATAATATATTATTATTATCATCGTACACAAATACTTACTCTGTAGCTTTTTTATATCTATTTATAACGTCAACTATCCATTCCCATTCTTCTTGTGGTGTTTTGAAATAGCACTCTTTTCCCATATATGTTAAATTTCTTTCGAATGGTCTCCGTATTTTAAATCTTAAAAAATAAATTGGAGAATACAATTAACATTCTAAACAAAAATTACCACACATGCTATCATAGACTTGATTATTAAACTCGCACATTGAAACGTGAAAGTTATAACTCGCGTGTAGAACAGCTAGTATATATGCTGAAGAACCCAATCCACCTACTGTTACAATAATAGTAATTGCTATTATTTGATATATCAGCAAACCAAAATATTGCGCTCCTGCCTTGCTGACACTATTTACGGGTAATAATAATGATAATTGATTTTCGTCCAATATTCCTAAAAAATAAAGACATACTTTAACAACGCATGGAGCTACTACTGAAATAGCATATCCATTGAGAACACCTGAAAGAAAATAAAAGCCTATAAAACCGTAATATCATATCAAAATAAATTATAATGATATTGCTTACCAAGGAGAAGGTATGCATATAATTTACTTTGTTTAATATATTCTTCTAAAAATGCTAAATCTACCGCACTGGATACCTGCTTACAACTATAATTTATATCTGAAACTAATAGCTTCATCTGAAAACAAAATAAATAATTTATCAATAATTAAATCAACTATTCGCACGCTTCTATCTAATTCTTTTTTAAAAAAATACACGAACTGTTACGAAATTAAAATAGGTCGTACTGTAGCCTCCAAGTAAACCGATACCACCCACTGTTTTTTGAAGAATTCTGACTGCTGATTGCAGTGTTATTTCTGATGTTAACAGTTGATGAAACTAATGTTAAAACCAAATTTTACGAGTTAAAAGAAACAGAATATATACTTCATATTTTTATTTAAGGGTATATTATAAAGGACTTGTATTTACCAAAAAGATTTTTTTTTATTCCAAATAATACATATAAAGATCATCTTTTTAAATATATTAATGCTATTTAAATATGTAAAAGAACACTTACTTGATGAGAAAAAAGAGGAAAAATGTAGAATGTTATTAC